TATTTATTAATTTTTTAAAATACTTTTTCACAAATATTTTACTAGATAAATCTAAATAAGGTGCATCAAAAAAAATAAAAAATTGTTTAAAATTTTAAAAATATTCACTAAAAAAAATACGAAAAACAAAATATTTAATTTTTAAAAAATTGAATTCAAAAAAGTAAAACCAAACGCATTGAATTGTTCGATCAAAAAACACATTGAATTGTTTTTCATACTTTCAACTGATATGCAGTTATGTTTTTTTTTTTTTTTTTTTTTTTTTTTTTTTTCGTTGATTTGCAATTTTTTCTAAAATCTTTCCTTCGCCCTAGTGAGTAATGTAACAGTGACGTCTTACATTATTGATGATAAGTGATATCAGTATTTACTAATAAATAAATTACCTCATTTTACTGTTTAATTCAACGCAATTTAATACGTAAGAAGGTTTCTTATATGCTCATGTTAATTTATTACTTCCTCAATAAAAATTTTTTTATTAATAAAGCGTTAATTTCAAGGGTAAATTGTTTATAAGTCCTATTTGGAACACTTATAGAAGATATGTTCCTATGAAAAAACTTATATCTCAATAGGTCTTGTGGTTTTCTTGTGGATAGATTTACCCTCAATCTTAATTAATTAATTAATAAATTAATAATCTGATTAATGATAATACCATATATGAAAAATTCAATATTACCATAGATTAAGATTATATCTATATGGTTAAAAATTTGAAATTCAAAATAACCTAATTAGTGGCAATACCATATATGGGAAAACCAATGTTATCATAGATTGTGATCATATGTATATGGTTAGAAATTTGAAATTCAAAATAACATAATTAATGGCAATACTATATATAAGGGAAATCTAATATTACCATAAATTGTGATTATATCTATATGGTTAAAAATTTGAAATTCAAAGCGTAAATGTAACATGTAACATCTCAAACCCAATGTCACATTCCCAAACCCAACGCGACATTCCCATATATTTCTGAAATTCAAAATAACTTGATTAATGTCAATGCTACATATAGGAAATCTAATGTTACCATAGATTGTGATTAAATTTATATGGTTGAAAATTTGAAATTCAAAGCCTAAATGTACCAAACTTACTGTGACATTCCCATATGCTTCTCATCCCAAATCCAACATGGCCTTCCAATAATCCACTGTTGAACCACCATCATCCCCAACCCAACGTAACTTCAACATCGTGTGATGGGATTCAATCCACATTTAATGATAAACCCAAATCCCAAACAGTTTTGCGCAACGTACTATGCCATGTATGTAAACACTGATTATAGCAAAGATACGATACACATCCAAACACATATACAACCGAACAAACACATAAATATCATCTACTACATGGTGCATGTGGATTAACATTACACACTAAATGTAACATGCATTGTAACACGATCATTCATGTCCCAATATATAATTGTCATTCTGTGACGTGGTTCACATTCGACATCCAACCCAACCCAACCCTTGAACATATACACACTACCCCACACATCGAACATATCAAAACACATCAACCCTCACAAATGTCAAATACACACATTCAATCAGAATATTGACCAAAGTGTGCCCATCAATGTGTGCAATAGATTATGAATGCCCCATTAAAAATGAACAATCCACACTTCAATAAACAGTAACACATTTCAACCACACACGCACAAAAAAAAAAAAAAAAAAAAAAAAAAAAAAAAAAAAAAAACTCTTCCTCTCAACCAATTGGACTCGAAATCTGTCGAAGGAATCAACATACGACCCTCAAATTTCATCATAAATCGACCATATCCACATCCATTATTTTCAAAATGCATTGGAATCCGGCAATCAAGGCGAAACAAACTTGCACAGTCGTTGTCTGTAGATTTGTCTTTCCTAAAAACCTTCCCAAACTTGATATGATGAATGGGAAAATAAGGTATAATAGGAAAACAAATTAGGGGTATAATAGTACACTAAATATTATTCATTTACAATTCATAGGACCTCATGGAACACATTTCTATTTAAATAGGACTTCAAACTTTAAAAAAATATTCATAGGACTTCATATTAAATAAGTCTTCCAAATAGGACTTATAAATATTTTTTTCCTAATTTCAATTTTATCTTACAAACTATCATTAATTTTTTCTTTTTTATTTCGTTCCTAAATTATTGATTTTTTCCATTTAGCACTTAAAATTATTGATTTTTGTTCATGTGGTCTAATTAAAGAGGGTTGTACAAATCAATAATCTTTAAATCTTAATTTGGAGGGAAAAGAAATAACTGAGCAAATTATATCAATATTTTTTTTTTGGGCCATACATTTTTAATTGGCTCGATTTTGACTATTTAGTTGAGATTTTGTGTCAATTTAAGCCCATTGATAACGTTGATTTTTCATTAAAAATAATCATTGATTGATTGAAATTAATTCAATCAGTTGAACAAGTTCATAATTTTGCATTTAAAAATATCACACATGTTACTCATATGCGCATTCCATAAAAAATACTAACAATTATAATTAATTGGACGAAATTAACACAAAATTCAAAATTCAAGGCCAAAATTAAGCCAATTGAAAGTGAATAGACTAAAATGACACAATAAACAAAATGCAAGGATTACCTGTGTAATTTTTAAAAATAATTTTATAATTTTTGCAACTTAAGTCATATAAACAAATACTCATTAAATTGATTGTAAGATATAGTTTGTTCAAAATAATAAGAAAAGTGAGTATTTTGTTGTATAATTCATAATTTTCAAATTCTGAAACAATATTGTTTCAATGAAATTAGTTTTCAACAATTATAATTTATATAATGGTCTCTATAATTAGACTACATTACAAAAATTAGAAAATTTAGAGAATTTATAATGTGAGGTTGTGAGTTCAACTCATATAGAGAATAGTTTGATACTTTTTGTAGATATTTATTTTTTCCTCGTTGTGGGAATTTTATGTAATTTGTGGTGGTTGGCCTTAGTTTATTGGTTATTAGACTTCGTTAAATTTCTAGCTACTGTGGGTTAGTGATTTGTTTGATTATGAATTTTTTTTTTATATTTTTAATTATTTTCTTATTAATTAAAAAAAATAGACAAAATTGATAATTTGACAATGAAGTAGAAAAAAATGATAATAATTTGAAGAATAAAAGTAAAATTAATCAATTAATAAATGATTATATTAGCCCCGTTGAGTAATATACTATTTTGGTTAACTTTTTAACCTTTTACAAAATGATGTGTAAAAAAATAAAAAAATGATATAATATAATAAAATATTTTATTTTATTAATTATTCTAATCTAGGCTATTTTAACCCATCCCAAGCATCCCATTGTTTCTTATGATGCATTCAAAAACAATGATAGAGACCCTCAATTTTGGGGACACTGACATGTGATAACTCAACCGTACTTTGCTTAATTATGTATGAGATTATGTGTTTGACATGAATTTGTAAGTTTAAGTATGAGAAATATGTGAATTTGGAAAAATATCTGTTGAAAGTAGGAATATCTGTTGTAATTGAAATTTTGAACTGAAATTGAAGGTTGTAGGGACGCGATAAACAAAAACCGACTTCATAGCTATGATTAATATGATTTTTAAAGCCTTTGGTGAGATTTTGAAAAATTATAATTCGTAATTTAGTGATGTTTTGGGTGTAAATAGAATTTCCCAAATTAGAAAGTCAACAAAGCATACCTAAAAACGTACTAAGCTCAAGTCCAAGCCCAAATCCAACAATCTTCATAATGGCAGGCCCGGCCCTGAGATTTGCGGGGCCCAAAGCCGATAATCAACTAGTAAATTTCTAGGGCCCTTCACATTTTTTTTTTCATTGAATGAAAAAAAAATTTGAAAATAAAGGACAAAAGACTTGTGTCAAAATTACAAAAAATACTTAGCATTACATTACAATAACTAATAAGTATCGCTTGATCCTCCATCTTCTTGTATTTTTAGAAGCAAATAAATCAATCATACTTGCATAATCTAATTTTTTTACAAAATCATTTTCAATAAATAACAATGCTAATTATTTTAAATGGGCCTTTCAATTTTTTAATAGATTAATTTATTTTAAGTTAATTTGGGCCTTCCTTAATTTTTTTGGAACTTAAAATATACGTAATATATTAGACTAAACTATAATAAGAGAGACCCCTTTTTTGGGTCTATTTTCAATGGATAACAATGCTAATTTTTTTGAATGGGCTTTTAATTTTTTAATGGATCAATTTATTTTAAGTTAGTTTGGGCCTTTTTTAAATTTTTTAGGCTTAAAACATACCTAATATATTACACTAAATTATAATAGAAGAGCGCCTTTTTTTGAGTCTATTTTAAAGGGCCCTAAGCCATGGCTTTGTGGCTTATGCCCCAGGCCGGCCCTGCATAATGGGGAAGAAATAAACCCCACTATGAAAGGTATTAAACTCATCTTTATAGGAGTTGAACCCAAGATTTCATATCACAAAGGGTATTACACAATCATTAGGCCAAAAATGGTGGTCTTGTAATTGGATTGAATGTCTTACGTTATTTTGCTTATTTGACCATTTACTGCATTGAAATTTCATAAATACACACATGAATATTCATGTATAAAAATTAGGAAGATTATCCGGTATTGATTAACTTACCATATGTTTATAATATATAAGAAATATATTATATTTTTCCTTTTCTGTTTTGTGGTGAATACAAGAAGACAAATGAGTGCTCTGCGTTGTGTTATTAGTGCTTACCTTATTTGACCATTGATTGCATTGAAGTTTCATTTAACTTTACTATTATACCATGTATGCATTTATTTCTGATTGTGCTTTGTTACTATCTATTGTTACAATTGAGTGCTTAAATACTTATGAGCTTGTCCAATGTAAAACACTCATTCTCCATCACAAAGTAAAAAATAAAAATTACAAAACACTCACTTCGAAAGGAGTGTAGATAGTTCTCACCATGACAAGAATTGTTCTTCTTTTTGTCCTCTTTAGTCTAAATTACCATTCACGTGCGGATTTAATAGCTGATACCTGCAAGAAATCTGAATTTCCTGATCTTTGCAATTCAACTCTAAGATCAGACCCTCGCAGTGCAAAGGCAGATGCCAAAGGGCTTGCTCTTATCATGCTTGAAGTTGCACTTACTAAAGCTTCTACAACTTTCAATCAAGTGAAAAAATTACTTAGCAAGACAACAGAACCTGTTCTCAAAGAATGTCTCTCCCTTTGCGCTCATTTGTATGAATCAATCATCCAAGAAATTCCTAAAGCCATTCAGAATGTGGGGTCAAATAACAATGAAGCTATCCATCAAGGAGATTTGGCCATTACTGATGCTGACACTTGTGAAGGTATATTCAATGAGGAACCTAATAAGCGTAAATCACCTTTCACGGCTAACAATATTGCTGTGCAACACCTAGTAGGAATTGCTGAGGATATTTTAGCTTCGCTTAGTTAAATTTCATCTTTGTAAACCAGATTCTATCTTTGTTTTCAATATGGAATGAATAAATGAACTTCTTAGTTTGTTTTTTTGTTTTTTTTTTTAAATTTTTTCATACACCTGCCTTCTTACTTTCTCACAATTTAATACTTGTAGGGCTAAGAATTAGTGTTGTTTTTAAATGAGGTAAGAAGAGAATGTGTGGCGACCCTACCATATATAATATATGGTATCTAATTAATTAAGGTGATTTGGATTTTAATTAATTATTATTTTAATTTAGGGAAATGATTTGGAGCCCTAAAAAAGCCCCCCCTAATCCCCCTAATCTCCAAAACGACGTCGTTTGGGGAAATTTTTTTTTTTTTTTTTTTTGCCTTGGTCTCAATTTTCGGGGGATTAGGGCTCCCCAAATTAGGGGATGTAGCACGGCCCCTTAATTTAATTGTGGAATTGATGAACAATGTTGGTATTGATTCGTATGTAATTTTATAAAAGAGTTATTTCGGAATTAGAAATTAAAAGCTTAAGTGGCTCAAGAAGATGAAATTGACAAATTGAATTATTTTAATTTTGAGTATCGGACCATATGAGGGTTTAATTAAATATTCGATTCTCTTTAGTAAAATTGAGATTTTATTAATTGGGTCCGAATTGGAGTTGATCAAGTTATGAAGATTAGGAATTGTGATTATTGTGAATTAAATTGAATTATGAGGGGTCCAATTTAAATATGTAATTTATTGACGGAAATTTTGAGTCTGATTAGAAATTGAAGGCCTAAGTAGTTTTAGAAATCAAAATTAATGATAACAATAAGTTTAATTTAATATTTTGAGCCTTTGGGAGTTTGATTAAAAATCTGATTTAGGATGGTAAAAATTAAATATAATTAATTAGGCCCAATTGAAGTCAATTAGACTAATTAAATTATGTGAGATTGGTGATTAGTTATGATTAATTTAATTATGTGTTTATTAAGATTTATAAAGGCTACATGTTATTTAATTAAGCTAATCTTTATCACAAATCAAATTGAGGAAGAATCTAGAATTGTAAGTGTGTGTGGATGTGCAGAGAAACTTGTGTGGGTGTGTAGAGAAATCAGATATGTGTATATTGTTGTTGTGCTGGCAGCTTAGATCTGTGCACGTGTGTAGTGTGGATGCCTCAAGAGAAGTGTGTGTGTGTCTAATACATGTGCTGGAAATTAGATTCAAACACATAGGGGGGAGAGAGAGAGAGAGAGAGTGTGTGTGAGTATGTGCTGGAGAAGGTGATTGAAGTAGACCATTGAGAGAGAGAGAGCCACGGATTGAAGGGAGAAGAGAAGGAGCTTAAGAATTCATCAATCGTACACTAAATTGAAGATTAAAGGTAAGGATTTTAAGCTTGAATTTTATAGAATTCTTGTACTAGACTTGAATTAAAGATGAGTTTGGGTTCAATTTCGTATAACTTGGAAGAAATTAGAAAACAAAGATGAAGAGATTAAGTTAGGTTCATGGTTATGGAAATTAATTATTTTGGATTTGATGTTGCGATCTTGTATGAAATTAAGCCTCATTGTTACATGATGAGTAAATTCTACAAGTTTAATACTCTAATTATACATGCATCTTGGATTTTGAAGAATTTTGACTAATTTAATCTCATATTTTGAAGAGAAAAAAGAAAATCTTTGAAATTAGGAATTTGTTTGATTTTGATCTTTAATCCGTGCATGTAATTTAATTTAAAAGTTTTATTCAATTTAGACACATTTTGGAATATCTATGATCATAAATTAAGTTTTTGGTTGCAAATTAAGTTAAGTTGAAACTCTAAGGTGCCGTTTGTTAACCCTTACGTTTTCAGTTTTCTGTTTATATTTATAAAATTTTTAAAAACTCAAATAAAAACTTGTTTGGTAAAATTTTTTATTTATAAATCAGTGGTCTTAGTTTATAAATTTGGCCAAAAAATGAAAACATAAAAAATGTGTTTCCATTTTGAGTTTTCAGTTTTTTTTTTACCACCCAACACTAGCTACCACCCGCCATCATTTTCCACCACCGTCTTCCGCCGCCACCACCCACCCCCACCACCCACCTGCCATCCACCGGCCACCACCCATCACTCGCCACCACCACCATCCACCGCCCGCCACCACTACCTGCCACCTACTTACCACCACCACTCACTACCCACCTGCCACCACCATCCACCACTTGTCACCACCAGCCACCCACCATCACGCACCACCCACCTGCCACCACCCACCACCACCTTTTGAGTTTTTTTTTTTTTAACACCCAACACTAGTCACCACCCGCCACCATTCCCGCCACTCCCACTCACCCCCCACCACCCACATGCCATCCACCAGCCACCACCAACCGCCACCGTCACCCACCCACCACCCGCCACCTGCCACCCACCTGCCACCCGCCACCATCACCGCCACCGCCCACTCGCTGCTGCCCACCACCCGCCACCGTCACCCATCCACCCATCATCACCACACGCCACCACCCACCACCACCCGCCATCCGCTACTCACTTGCCACCATCACCTACTCGCTACCACCCACCACCTGCCACCGTCACCCATTTACACACCACCACCACCCGCCGCCACTACCCACCCGCCACCACCACCACCCACTCACTACCACCCGCCATCACCACCCACCACCACCAGCTACCTACCACCCACCGTCATCACTTTCTACCACCGTCTTCTGCCGCCACTTGCCACCACTCGCCATTTGTCACTCTTTTTTAGATTTTAAATTTTTTTTTTAACATTTTGTCAATTACCAAACACGTTTGTAGTTTATGTTTTTCTAAAAATAAACAAAAAATAAACAAAAATCAGTTTATAAAATTTTTATAAATATAAACTAAAAACGTAAACGTTACCAAACACAAAGAAATTGATTTTTGTAATTCATTAGTTAAGTTTGATTTTTGTTATTAATAATGAAATTGGGTTCTATTTTTACATACATCATGAAATTTTCAAGAGTTTGGAAAGTTTAATTGATATTTTAAAATTTGTGGGTTTGATACAAAGAAAATGAATTAAATCTAAATTTGGAAATAAATTATAATATATATCTGAGAATCAAAAATTAGTATGATTTTGATTTAACTTTCTTACATGTAAAGATTTTTGAAAGGGTTGTATAACTTTAATTTATGTTTTATAAAGCAAAGAAAGAAGAATATTGGAATTATTATATTCATGAAATTATTGGTTTTAATCTTAATGATCAAAGAGATTTTTGTATTAAAAATTGGAAAATTAGTCATGGGTTCATCTTTATTAATAAAATTACATGTTTCAATTGGTTCATGCAAGAGTTTGAGTTTTGAAAATGTGTTTGGAAATTATTTTGTTGGTTTTGAAAGCACATAAGATTTGCTGGCCGCTCGAGCAGTGAAGTCACCGCTTGAGCGAACATTAAGGCCAACCAGTATTTTTACAGAGTTTTGTAGACCGCTCGAGCAACCAAAGGTGCGCTCGAGCGAGGACCCTATTTTCAGCAATTTTTGACTAACTCTTTTAAATGCATAATTGCATCCTCATGACACTCTAAGTATTCTTAGGCACCAATTGGACTCATTGTAGACCGCCCGAACTCGCTCCGCGCGCCCCCCTTTCGAAGAGGACACGAATTGGGTTCTAGCTATTATAGTTTGGACTCCTGTCACGGTTCTGAATCTAATCTCACAAAGTGTAATGTAAGACTAATAAATCACCAAAGAGTCCAAATCCGGCAATTGGTTTTGGAAAATCGATTTTAATTAAAAAGCGCCAAACATTGATTTTAATCAATTGGTTTTGCCAGATTTCAGAGTCGCCACCTAAATATTTTGTTTTGGGAAATTTAGGAAACACTGACTCGTGCCTAAGGCCACGCGTCCGTTATCACCAAAGTTGCCTCGGCTCGGGAACTTGGATACGAGAGGGAAAGGTCCTGAAATGAGCAATCCCGCTCGCCCGATCAAAGGATCGGCCTCTACTAAACATGATATGTTGTTTTTGAAAAAACATGTGTTCTTATTCCGATTTATTTAGCTAATCCTACTATGTGATGCACACAACACACAAGTATAGACTAAACCACTCAATTTGGAACAAAACATCTCATGTTTGTTTTTCAAAAATGGTTTGAATTTGTCACCCTCAAGTGGGCTTGAAAACATGATTTTGCCACTCTCAAGTGGGCTTAAAGCACACATTCGATGAATTATTCCAATTCAAGTAATAAAGCCTCCATCCACAGGCATTTATGCAGTTTAATCACTTAAGCAAATAGCCTCATGTCAAGCATGCTATCATGGCAATACTCAAACTCATGCAAGGATGCTAAAGCGTAAACACTTACAACGTACTCCGAGCCAAAACAGGAAACTAGTTAGAAAACAATGCATGCTCCTAACTATACAAAATGTCTAATGCAACACATGCAAAATGCAACTAAGTAGGCTAGGCTATCTAAGATGGCATATGAGTGGCACCACTTTGATAAATGTATTCAAATAGGTATTAAAATACAATGCAGTTTGAATGATGCGCCGAGCACCGTGCATGTAATACAAATGAATGATGCAAACATGCATCGCCTAAGGTATGCTAATTAAAACATGACCTAAAACAAACCATCGTAAGCAGTTAAGTAAAAGGAAGAAAGATGTGGGGTTGGAAGACATGCACACACACACGCACGCTTATTACAACAACGTGCCCTCTCGACGGAGGGTTTGAATAAATAAGCTAATTAGCCACGTTAAGCTAAGCTAGTTATCACAAACCAACTAATTAACTAACTTAGCTAATTAATTATTACAAACACAAATTGAATAACTAGCTAATCTAAGCTAATTAGTTACAATACATTGAAATAGTTAGAAATAACATGGAGACATGCATGCTCGGTTGGTGTTCACTTGGAAATCCATTACCATGCTGTCAATTGCCTCTGTTTGCACTTGCCTTGAACTTTGAAAATTGTGCCAATCTCCAG